GCAGGTTAAGAAATTGGGAGGAGAAAAGAGAAAAAATAAAAAATTGAGTAGTGAAGAAAAAGAGAAGAGAAGGGGAAATGGAGTAGGAGGAGGAAAGAGGAAATTGGGTATATGAATAAACCAACAGAGACTTGAATAATATCCAAAAGCAGATAAAGAAGAGCCACTTTTTAAAAGGGGAAAAAAGAAAGGAAAGAGGAAAACTAAAATAGAGAAAGGAGAAAAAATGGGAGAAAAAGTAGAAGTGAGGAAGAAAAAGGCGCAAAAAAGTAAAAAAAATCAAAAATAAAATAAGATAAAATTAAATTAAAAATTTTTTAAAAATAAAAAAATGAAGTGTCTGCTTCAGCTGAGTTTTAATGCCCCATAGGAGTTGGTTTAGGACTCCACTTATCTGTTCTTTCTGCTAATTCTGGGCTTCCTGTTAGGTACTGAGGTGCTGGCCACAGTTAGTCACTGTCTTTTGGCTTTTAGCACCCTGCTTGAAGCTCCAAGCGATCCACAGGTCCTCTGCTCATGTCTGTCTCTACAGGCCTTGGCTGCAAACATGCGGGGCCAGTCTGCCCTCTTTGCCTGTCTGCCAGCTGTCAGTCTTAATCACTCAAGCATCTGTTTCTGACAGAGCTTTAGGTGGGGTTGATGCTGTTTCACTTTCAGGGAATAAGATGGATATTTTATTCCTGACCCAGAGCTACTATTCTGCGAGTGGCCCAAAATATTACTCTGGCCTTGGTTGGTCAGAGATCCTTATATGGAGACCACTGGCAATCTGGAGTTTTTATCAGTCTGGTTCTAGAATAGTGGGGTAGATAACCTCTCTTCTAATGCAGTCACTGAGAGCTCTTGGGACTATTCAGACCTATAAGCTTGGCCTCTACCTTTGTTTCCTCTGTAAAGCTCAGAATGCAGGGCATGGTAGGCCGTATTACCTGCCTTGGGGTTACTGGGCGGGGCTAAGTCTTCTCTGGAGAAATGGCCGCTTTGGTTCAGAATCTTAAGAATGTCCCACTGCAGGACTCCTGGTCACATCTCCCTGCCCTGCTTCCCTCCCCAGCCTCTTCTCAGGCACCTCAAGTCTGTGCTTCTCTCCTTGAGCCGAAGCCTGAAGCCTCGGGTGAGTGTTTGCAATGGAAAAGTCCTGTGTTCTGTGTTTAGAGAAAAAAAGCAAAGACAACACAACAACGAAACTGCATGTTTCTCTCTCCCCACCTCGGGCTGCCTTTCGGGCCACCTTTTGCAGTGCAGCCTTTTGAGGTTGTGGTCTTGGGTCCAGATTCCCCGGCAGACAGCAGCCATGTGGCTTTTCCTTTTCACAGTTGGATGTTACACCTGTCTCCAAGGGATGTGGCTTTGGTGCAACACAGCTTCCTCCTCGCCCTCTTGGCCAGCTGGCCAGCCTCCCCTCTTAAGCCCATGTTCCCATTCCTACCGCTCTCCAGGCATCCTCTGCCCTTCCTTGTTGTAAATTGTCTCCTCAGCTGTGTCTAATTTGTTAATGCCGGGTGGTGGTTCTCCGATTTAGTTGCATTTTTAGTCTGTCTCCAGGATGAGGTGCATGACACATCTGTCTATTCGGCTGCCGTTTTTTCATTCTCTGGTGGTGCTTTTTACAAAGTAGATTTCTAATGATGAAATTTATAGGAAAGTGCCATAGAGAAGAAAGGAGTGTTTCTTTTTTTTTTAAATATATTTTATTGATTTTTTTAGAGAGGAACGGAGAGAGATAGAGAGTTAGAAACATCGATGAGAGAGAAACATCGATCAGCTGCCTCCTGCACATCTCCTACTGGGGATGTGCCCGCAACCCAGGTACATGCCCTTGACCGGAATCGAACCTGGGGCCTTTCAGTCCGCAGGCCGACGCTCTATCCACTGAGCCAAACCGGTCTCGGCGAAAGGAGTGTTTCTGACAGTGGCCTCAAAATAACAGTTATAGGTTGGGACATATAAAGGACTTGGGATTGTTAGACATTCCCACTACTTCAATGGTTTTAGTGCTCTGAACAATCTCATTTTCTGGGTTAATAAATTTTTTTTAAAGGCGGTGGCTTATGTATCAACAAGAAAATATATATATTATTCTTCATCTATATTTACAGATAGTTCTAAAAAATTGCTGATTGAATGGTAATGTTTTCCTTTAAGTAGGGTCATTTGGCAGATTTTGAATAATTGTCCTACTTTTTAATCAATATGACACATTGGATTGTCCACTGAACCATCTACTTGCAGTTATTCTAAGCATAGGCCTAGAGAACCAAAGACCTTTTTAGTATTGTTTTTAATTGAGGAACTAGGTATTTTATGTGGAGAACTGGAAATTTGTTTTCATTTTTATCTTGTTACTTTCTAAGCTTTTAAAAATGTTTACCCACAATTTGGAGATAGTCTAAACAGGCATCATCCCATTCCTATTTATTTTTTCTGACTAAGTCACCTATTTTATGTATAAAAAAAGAGACTTGATTTACTTCAGCTGTTAGTTCTACCCCATAATAACACTTAAAGCTTACTGGAATCTAGTTTTAAACTCTCCTGTTGCTTAATCTTTATTATTTTTGCTATTTTGAATTTTCATCCAATTTATTCTTAAAGGAAAGGCTTCATAAATGTCTTTCTAGAGTGCATTTCCTATTCCTTTTTCCCATTCAAACACAGTTAAAAAAATTATGCACAGTTTAATCATGTAAATCCCACCTTGGTCTATGCCTACTGTTATTTTAATATTTAAATGAGTCAGTTGGTCTAGATCGGGTGTAGAGTCAAACAAAATCTTGAGCAGAAACCGGTTTGGCTCAGTGGATAGAGCGTCGGCTTGCGGACTGAAAGGTCCCAGGTTCGATTCCGGTCAAGGGCATGTACCTGGGTTGCGGGCACATCCCCAGTAGGAGATGTGCAGGAGGCAGCTGATCGATGTTTCTCTCTCATCGATGTTTCTAACTCTCTGTCTCTCTCCCTTCCTCTCTGTAAAAAATCAATAAAATATATTTTAAAAAAAAACAAAAAAAAAATCTTGAATCCTAAAGCAAATTTCTGTTTTTCTGAGACTGAAGAAAACCCTCATTGTAGACCTCCGCTCAGATATAGACTATGTTTAATTCAGCTTCTGTGATCTGCCTTACAGTCTAGCATGGGGATATTGTGAAATGTGGTTGTATATTTCCTGAGAGAAAAGTGAGAAAGGGCGGCTTGTTAAAGAGGTCAAGGAAAGGAAAAGAAATAGAAAAGGTGAGAATGAGAATGAAGATAAAGTTGTGCAGAGAGAAAGAGGTTGAGTTACACAAATGTGAGGTGGCTACTGCTTGCTTCACTGACTTCACCCACAAATAATCTACAACTGGTAAAGGATAATAAAAACAGCCATCTGTTATATTTAAATAGCTAATACATGTATGGACTGAGGTATAGAATGAAATGCTGTGTATTGCACAGAAAAATGGACAGTTTCTGCTGTGAGGGAGTTACATTCCAGTTGAGGCAGTAGAGAGTAAGGGAACTAAGTGAATTGTGCACTTTTCTATGTACTGAACATGCTCCTAGACCAGGGGTGGGCAAACTTTTTGACTCGAGGGCCACAATGGGTTCTTAAACTGGACCGGAGGGCCGGAACAAAAGCATGGATGGAGTGTTTGTGTGAACTAATATAAATTCAAAGTAAACATCATTACATAAAAGGGTACGGTCTTTTTTTTTTTAGTTTTATTCATTTCAAACGGGCCAGATCCGGCCCGCAGGCCATAGTTTGCCCACGGCTGTCGTAGACCCTGTACATATTTTATCATATTTAATTTTCAGAATAATCTTGAAGTAGATAGCTTACCTGGCCTCCCCCCTCTCCCGCAACCCCCACCCCCTACCCCTCCCACCCCCCCACCCCCTCCTCTACTTTCTGGTTTGGGCAATGAAGACTTGGAGAATTTAAATGGTTCTACCAATTACACAGCAAGAAGCATATGAAGCCAGGTTTTGAATTTGGTCTAAGATATCCACAGATAACTATAGAAGGCAGAATGAGACATCCAAATACAGGGGCACAAAAATGGGCCATTGAACTTTAACACTATTAAAATCATTTTAGTTCAGGAATATTTAAGGCTTCGTGAAGGAGGTAGCATTTGAACTGGGCTTTGCAGGTTGAGAGTAGGATTTTTAACAGGTGAATATGACAAAGAAGGCAAATGAGTAATAAGAACTGGTATTGACTCCAATTCAGTCTGAAGCCAAAGCCTATTTCTTTTTTTTAAAAATGTTTTTATTGATTTTGAGAGAGAGAGGAAGGGAGAGGGATATATAGAGAGAAACATCTATGAGAGAGGAACATTTTTGATCCGCTGCTTCCTGCACAGCCCCTACTGGTGATTGAGCCAGCAACCAAAGTTCATGTCCTTGACTGGAATAGAACCCGGGACCCTTCAGTCCGCAGGCCAAAGCTCTATCCACTGAGCCAAACCAGCTAGGGCCCAAAGCCTATTTCTAGAACAGTGTGAGCAAATGTTGGAAGCCAGGGCAACTGAAAAGGGATACCTTGAGTTATAGAAAAAAGTCTGAAAAGGAAAGTTAAGACAGGAACATGAAGGTCTTTCAGTGCAAATACAACAGGGTCTTTGATATAGATAAAAATATTCCAAATACCATAATTAGCTATGGAGTCTCTATTTTTAAAATATTCATCATCGATCAGCTGCCTCCTGCATGCCCCCGACCGGCGATCAAGCTTGGAACTGGGGCATGTGCCCTGACCAGGAATTGAACCAGGGACCTCTTCATTAATGGATTGATGTTCAACCACTGCATCACACCAGCTGAGCTGGAGTCTATATTTTATTTTTCTCCTTGGTAACTCTTATTTCAGTTGTTTATTTCCTCCTGGCATTACCAGTATTTCAGAGGGCCTGGTGTTGAATGATAATGGAGCAACATGGAGGTAGGGCCATATAGCAGGAAAATTGGAAAATGCTTTTGATAGGAGCCAATGTATTCTCTGATGTATTTATTTTTAGAAGAAGCCATTTTACAATATGAAACCCTTATCAGAGGCTGATGAAGAAAAAGCAGGAAGTCAGAAGATTCCAAAACTAAGTGATTATTTGGATATTGCACGGAAGACAAATAAATATGTGATATTTGATCTTAATGGCCCTCCACCAAAACATCCTCTCAGAAGTACATATGTACGTCGTGTAGTAGATGTGATTCTTAAATCTAAAATTGAGCAACATTTGGTATGTCTATCTCAGTATTTATGGTAGAGGTTGGGAGGTGGGTAGCATGTCCCAGAGTATAGCAGTTGAACTTACCCTATCTTACAGATCTTCTCTGGGATCCTTAAATAAATTTGCTCCCTTTAGAAATGGAAATTATTGCTTATACATTACATGAAGCAACCTAAGAATGACTCACTTATATTTATTTCACTGGGGGGAAACATTGAGGTTTGTTGCTATTCCAAACCAAATGAAATATCAGCAGTGTAATGACCATCTGATGTGACCTGTACCATGCACCAAAGTAGAACTATTAGAAAGGGCCTGGGTACACTAATGCATTGAGGACTTGGTTTCAATTAATGATGAATGAATAAGCTGGGTCTTACTTGAGCATAGATTTGTTCATCATGTTTCTCAGAAGGAACTCTCTGCATTGGGGTAGTCAATTATTCCAAATCTCTTAAATTCTCAGAATATAGAAGAGTGCTATGAGTCGGGGAAAATGGGTCTTTTTACCAATGGAACTATTTGCACAGATGAGTCATAATGAGCCCTCTCAAGGATGATGTTTAGCATCATCAGCCAGAGGAGATGTTTATGGTTCCCACCTTGCATCCACACCTGCCAGCCCCTCATCCACTTTGGCTAGTGTGACACAATGGGCCCTTGACCCATTATATTACCTGAGGAAACTCAACTGCAGAACAACCCTGGTGAAAGCCCCATTGTAAGAATTTATCAGACTATATCAGGCCAAAGGCTAAAATCTCCTTCTGCTCCCTATAGACTGCCACCAGTGCTGGAATGGGGCTTCATCTATTGTACAGGGAACTGTTTGTACCTAGACAGCTGATGGTTCACTGAAAAATTTCCTGTTTCTTCTTACAGGTTTATTGGTTGCCTGGTTTTGATAGGGACTATGTGAGGTGGAGAGCTCCTAATTTTCAGCATGTGGGCCGGTTAGATCCCGTTGCTGAACTTAAAAGAGAAAATATCAGTATAATAAATGTTGACTACAAGAGGTTGTTCCACAACGGGTTGAGGTAAGTGTTTGACCACACCTCTCTAGGCATGCACTGCTTTACTTGCACAAAATCTGCATTCTAACCAAACTACTTAGCTTCCCCTTCCCATCTCAGGATTCTGTGTGTGGCTATCTTTTTGGAATCCCATATTTTCCTCTTCTTGCTCTTCCCTCATTTCTTCCTCCTCACCTCTACCAACCAATATTTATCATGTATAGATTATATCCCTGGAACATAGTCTTCAGCCTCTTCTTCTTTGTGCTTCAATCTCTCATCAGTGAACACACGTTTTTGTATGCTTGGCATTTTTTGTTTTCATATAAGGTGACTGTTGAAAAGTCAGAACTCAGAGAGGTGTTTATTTCCTCAAGTCATTACCAGAAGGATTGCAGTATCTCATGAATAGCTTTGTTATTCAGATAGCCAGATTTCTAAAAGGCATAATTAAGAACATTACTACATCATTATTTAAAAAACTTAAAGCAGCCAAGCATGAGAAGAAACTAAAATTATTAACCACCACATTTATAAATATACCAGAGGCCCAGTGCACAGATTCATGCACCAGTGGGGTCCCTTGGCATAGCCTGTGGGGATCCGGCCGAAACTGGCAGTCCAATGCTGCCTGCTGCTCCTGCTCATCCTGGCCCCGCTGTGCCTGCTGCTGCAGCCGCTCAATAGGCTTGTCTGCTGCGGTCTCTGGGCTGCGGTGGCCAGCCGTGAGCCCTGCGTCTGCCGCCCATATGTCAGCTGAGCAATGCTTCCACTGTGGGAGCTCACTGACCACCAGGGGGCAGTTCCTGTGTTGAGCGTCTGCCCCCTGGTGATCAGTGCATGTCATAGCAACCAGTCCACCAGTCGTTCAGTCATTCAGTCGTTCAGTCACTTAGGCTTTTATATATATACTAGAGGCCCGGTGCACAAAAATTTGTGCACTCGGGGGGGAGGGGGGGGCCCTCAGTCCGGCCTGTACCCTCTCGCAGTCTGGGACCCCTCAGGGGATGACCACCTGCTGGCTTAGGCCCACTCCCCGGGGGATTGGGCCTAAGCTGGCAATCAGACATCCCTCTGGCAGCCCTGCAGCCCTTGGGGGATGTCCACTTGCCAGCGGGGAGCAGGCCTAAACTGCAGTCGGACATCCTTAGCGCTGCTGAGGAGGCAGGAGAGGCTCCTACCACCACCGCTGTACTGGCAGCCATCAGCCTGGCTTGTGGCTGAGCAGAGCTCCTCCCATGTGAGAGCGCCCTGACCACCAGAGGACAGCTCCTGCATTGAGCATCTGCACCCTGGTGGTCAGTGTGTGTCATATTGACCAGTCATTCCCAGTCCTTCTGCTGTTAGGGTCAGTTTGCATATTAACCTTTTACTATATAGGATAGAGGCCTGGTGCACGGGTGGAGGCCCGCTGGTTTGCTCTGAAGGGTGTCCTGGATCAGGGTGGGGGTCCCGCTTGGGTGCCTGGCCAGCCTGGATGACGGGCTGATGGCTGTTTTCAGCTGTTCACACCCCCTTCAGGGTGGGGGTCCCCACTGGGGTGCCTGGCCAGCCTGGATGAGGGGCTGATGGCTGTTTTCAGCTGTTCACACCCCCTTCAGGGTGGGGTCCCCACTGGGGTGCCTGGCCAGCCTGGATGAGGGGATGATGGCTGTTTGCAGCTGGTCACACCCCCTTCAGGGTGGGGTCCCCACTGGAGTGCCTGGCCGGTCTGGGTGAGGGGCTGAGGGCCATTTTCAGGCTGGCGGGTGACTGAAGCTCCCAACCTCTCCTTTTTTTTTTTATTCTGGGATTTATTTACCTTCTATGGCTGTCACTGGAACTGAGAGCTGGCTTTAGCTCTGAGGCTCGGCTCCAGCTCTGAGACCTCGGCTGCTGAAAGCAGGTATCTGGTTTGTTTGGGTTATATAATTGAAACACTGTTGCAGCTCTGTTATGGGTTCACTCAGCGAGATAGACCACCAACTCAGAATTTAAATTTAAGAGCCTTTATTAAGCTGGCCAGCTGACTACAGTTACAGCACCCTGCCGAAGCAGAGGCCAAACTGCAGCGCCAACTTCCATGGCCAGCGACTACAGTTACAGCACCGTGCCAAGGCAGAGGCTGAACTGCAGCGTTGACTGGAAGAGTTACATTCTATTATTAAATTTTGTGGAGGCCCAGAGAAAAATGTTTCTTTCAAATTCTGGGCCCCCCCAATATGGAGGAAACTCTCTTTATTTATACTTTCTCCAGTCTTTTGTCTCCCAAATTTGGAATGAGACTTCCGGGCCTTCTGAGAAAGAAGGCCTGCATGCTGGGAAGGAGCCATGAGACCATATCTCAAGGCCTGGCCTGATGTCAGTGCACAGCATGACCCGTCTGGCCAAAGCGCCAGATATGCAGCCCAGCACAGCTCCAGCTCTGAGGCCGGCTGGCTGAAAGCAGGTTTCTGGGGTTTGTTTAGCTTCTATATTTGCAACATTGTTTTTTAGAGTGCAGCTCAGAGGCCGGCAGCGGCAGGCGGGGAACTTTGGCTTCCTCCATCACTGGAGCAAGCAAGCCTCCTGTTCGCTTCAGCTGCCTGGCTGCCGGCCGCCATCTTGGTTGGCAGTTAATTTGCATATCGCCCTGATTAGCCAATGGGAAGGGTAGCGAAGTTATGGTTAATTACCATGTTTCTCTATTATTAGATAGGATAAATGGTTAGAGACACTTTTAAAAAATAAAAGCACCTGGGATAAAATGGTCACTTTTTCAAACTTAACTTTTATTAATCACTGATTAATTTAACCCATATCCCCTTTTTCTTATATTTAAAAATACTTTTTTCAGATAATTCTAAATGTTTCAGAGACAAAGTTTTCCTTGGCGATGTTATCATATATACTCAAAATCCCCTTTTTTACAAATCCCCTAGATAACTTTCTGCATCTCAAACCATGAACTAAGCTGTGGGATGCACCTAAGTTCCTGCTCCTGCTTTTCCTGCCTCTTGGCCGTGGGATAGTTTAACATAAAATATGTCTCTTTTTAAGCATTGGAAGTTTTGTTACCTTTATTTCCTAATTAGGAGATTTCTCTTTGCCCAACTACTCCTCTATTTTGAATGTATTTCTATAATTTTAACTTTTTTAAAAATATATTTTTATTGATTTCAGAGAGGAAGGGAGAGAGATAGAAACATCAATGATGAGAGATAATCATTGATCGGCTGCCTCCTGCATGCCTCACATTGGGGATCAAGCCTGCAACCTGAGCATGTGCCCTTGACCAGAATCGAACCCAGGACCCTTCAGCCCACAGGCCAACGCTCTATTCACTGAGCCAAACGAGCTAGGGCTAATTTTAACTTTTTAAAAAGAGAAAATGGCTCTAAAATTATTTGCTTTTCTTCTAATCATAATTTAGATTAATTTAGTAGTTGAGAAAGAATTTTAATAGATTCTATTTATTGAGCATTTATTATGTTCATGTTCTGTGGTTGGTAAACCACAGGCTCTTTTTCAAATCCTAACCTATTCATCATAGGACTTTGGACAAGTTTCTAATTGTCAGTTTTCTCATTTATAAATTGAGAATAACAGTAACCTGTTCGAATTGTTAAATTATTAAATGGGAATTCTTATTATGCACATGGCAAAATGCTGGGCAAATGTAAGAACACAATTAATGTTAGCTTCTACCTTTATCTTTACCATCCTTACATGCTGTGTCCTGGAAATTATCTTGATCCCCATTTTGCAAGTGAGGAAACTTGCCTCTAAAGAGGAAAAGTTCATACAGTTGGTCAGTAGGGGACCAAACTGAGTAAATATAGGTCTGGCAGATTCCAGAGTCCAAATTATTTGACCACTGTGCCTTTAAATTTATATATTGGCCATAGTTACATGAGTATAGTTCCAACTGGCATCTGAATTAAGAGGGGTCATATACTGACTCCTATTCTGAAAAGTTAACATAAGCAAGGCATCATCTTTTTCCTTAAGGAAAGCACATATTCTAGTAGGAAAAAGAGGGGCTTTTTCTATATAGCTGTAATATAAAGCTGATGATAATAAATTCATGAGTTGGACTTTATTTCAAGACATCCCCCTCAAGGACCACTAAATTTTAAGAAATTAAGCAGTTGTACTTTCAGTTACTGGTATTTGTATAATATTTATGACCAGGATATTTAGGATTATGATCACATTTTCAATACATTCTCTATAATCAGTGCTCACTTTCTAGTCTCTCAGACCATTGTAACATGACATGGTGACCTTGCCATTTTGACAGATTGGTTTAAATACATTATTATAACCAAAAGTATATTAATATGTATAGAGATGCCCTCTGTTTTATTTCCTGATGTGGGATTTTTAAGTGTTTTTTGAATTTTTTTTAATTTTAAAAGCTAACTTATTAAGGTGACATTTCATAAAAGTAACTATTTTAAAGTGAACAGTTTAGTGACATTAGCACATTCACAGCATGTACAACTAACTATCACTTCTAATTCTGATATTGGAAATGTTTACTTTCCCTCTTTTTCTTGGACAATCTTGCTAGGGGCTTATGAATTTTATTTATCATTTCAAAACACCAAATTTTGGCTTTGTTAGTTTTTCTTGCATGTTTGTTTTCCTGTTTATTGATTTCTACTCTTACCTTTATTGTTGTCTCTCTTTGATTTACTTTAGGTTTAATTTGCTTTTCTTTTATTAGGTAGCTTCTTTACCTATATAAAAAATTAGGTGATTGATTTTAGATCTCCTGTTCAAATGTAACCACTTAAAGCTATAAATTTCCCTGTAAACAGTGCTTTAATAGCACCCCACAAATAATTTTGATATATTGTCTTTATTATAATTCAATTTAAAATATTTTAAATTCTCCTTAATTTCCATCCTACTCATAGATTATTTAGAAGTGTGTTAACTTTAAAAAAAAATTTTTGTGTTCCTCTTGATTTTTAACTTAAATCCATTGTGATAAGAGAATAATTCTGTATGATTTCAGTACTTTTTAACGTATTTAAACTTGTTTTATGGCCCATTTT